TGAGGGGGGCTGTGCACCCCCTGCACCCTCTGTGCCCTCCCCCGGGGGTGTGGATAAGGACCCCCCGCCCCTCCCAGGTGGGCGCGGTGCCTCAGCTCCTCGGCGGGGGTCGGGGGGGACACCATCTTCGCCCTGTCCTCGGCCCCCGGGCGCTGCGGGGTCGCCGTTATCCGCGCCAGCGGCCCGGGCAGCCGGGGGGCCCTGCAGACCCTCACCGGGACCCCCAAGCTGCCCCCGCCCCGCGTCCTGGCCCTGCGGCGCATCCGCGACCCCGACACCGCCGAGACCCTCGACCGCGGGCTCGTCGTCTGGTTCCCAGGTGGGGTGGGTGGGCTGGGGCTCGGGAGGGGTCTTCGGGGCTTGGCTGGGGGGGTCTCGGTGACTGCCGCAGCCCCCTCGCCTGGGGGGACCCCTCGGGAGTGGTCCTGGGTCACCGCTGGCCCCTCTGCACTGATCCCGTAGAGCTGCTACTGGGGGGTCCCTCCTGAGCCCCCCAGAGCTCCTCTGGGGTCGAAATGTGCTTGTTCCCACGGGAGGGATGTGCCGAGTCCGGGGGGCTCAGCTGGTGCCCACCCAGACCGTGTGTCCCCGCAGGACCCCGGAGCTTCACCGGGGAGGACTGTGCTGAGCTGCACGTGCACGGGGGGCCTGCTGTGGTCAGCGGGGTGCTGCGGGCACTGGGTGAGCCCCCCCGTCCCTGCAACCCTCCTGCCCCTCTTCCATCCCTCCTGCTCCTCTCCCACCACATCCTGCCCCTCTCCCATCAGATCCTGCCCCTCAGGGTGCTGAGGGTGCTGGATGAGCCTCCCCCCATCCTTCCTACCCCCTTCCCCTTGTATCCTGCCCCTCGGGGTGCTGGGTGAGCCCCCCCGCACCCCTCTTTCCCCCCCCTCGGGGTGCTGTGGGCGGGGGCTCACGGGGGGGCTCTCAGGGCGCCTCCCGGGGCTCCGTCCCGCTGATCCCGGGGAGTTCACGCTCCGAGCGTTCCGCCGGGGGAAGCTGGACCTGACGGCGGCCGAGGGCCTGGGGGACCTGATCCGGGCGGAGACGGAGGCGCAGCGGCGGCAGGCGCTGAGGCAGATGGAGGGCGAGCTGGGCCAGCTCTACCAGCGCTGGAGCGACACCCTCACCCAGGTCAGGGCCGCCCCGGCCTCCGCTCCGGCCGCTGGTCCCTCCTCTGTAGCCCGGGGACGCAGCGGGGTGTCCCCCTGACCCCCCTCCCGCCTCCCAGGCGCTCGCCCACCTCGAAGCCTACATCGACTTCAGCGAGGACGACAACGTGGAGGAGGAGGTTTTGTCCCGAGGTGAGGGGGGGGGTGCTGGGGTTGGGGGCAGTGCTGGGACCCCCTGTCCCCGCTGCCCCCCCCTGCCACGTCCTCTGTGCCCGCAGTGGTTGGGGTGGGTGCTGGGACACCCTGTCCCCGCTGTCCCCCCCTGCCACGTCCTCTGTGCCCGCAGTGGTTGGGGTGGGTGCTGGGACACCCTGTCCCCGCTGTCCCCCCCAC